CAAGCAGCTGCACAGCAGAACTGTGAATGAAAATTCCTCTGTATGTCAACTGGTAACGACTCTCTTTAAAAAAGGGCTTTCCCAGAGAACTAACTACAATCATAATACAGACCAGAAACAGAATTTAAGCAAAGTTCCGGATCATTTGTTTGCCGACTTTGCTAGAGGACAGCTCAGGTAGAAGAGAATCTTTGTTGATGCCAAATCTTCCCTTGAGTCTTTCATATTTATAAAAATATACTCATATGTGTTTCTGTATTTATTAAGGTGAATGAGAATGTTTGATATATATTTACACTATGTATATATTATAAAAGAATTTACTGCTGGTAATGCAGAACGAATATCTAACTATATAGGATGACATATTTATCATTAGTTCCCTTTTTGATGTACGACTGCTAATGGGAAAATACAATTCCAGTTATAAGTTTGGAATATTTAAATTATTTTCCATTTTGCACTAAGGATATTTTGGAATTTTAATATTCTATTTTATAAGATATTAGCCTAAGGTCTAAGATTGCTCACATCTCTACAGGGGGACATAAAATAAAAAGAGAGAGAAAGACTGGGACTTTTTAACATGTGGATTTGACAAAGTTATACCTTAATTGCTGCTATCATAGTAGTCAAGAAACAGCTATTGTTGATTATCTGAAAATTACTTAAGAAATTTCCATTAATATCATGGTTTAAAAAGTCTTCTGAAAAAAATAGCTTAGCTTCTTTTGTGAACATGGTGAATATTTTATATTTTGTTATAGAAAACAGCATGCACATTTTCAACAAGAGAGTGTCCTTCCCATAACACCTCAAATAACATATTCAATTTAAAATGTAAGCATGACATTCAGGCTTCATTTGCTGTTGGTGTCAATCTAAAAAAATATAAATTGATGCAGACAGAAAATTCTAATCTGATGCCCTAGGGCCAGATCCAATAAAACACTTAAGCATCTAAATTTGGTGTTAAAGCAACTAACTTTAGGTGTTTGTCCCCCAGAAGGGAATCTTTGGCTGAAGTGAGCTGGGTCTTACATTCCTATATAGTGTATAGGGTGAGTATTGCTAGACAGGTACCAGTTAAGGGGTGCTATGTTAACATTACCCAAATCAGGTACCGCAAATTCGAATCTAATGAAGTTAACAAGTAAAACTATAGTCTGTATAAAGTCAACAGAAAATCATATGCAGCTATCTGGAGCTAGTAAATAGAGAGACTCTGACAATAGGACTGAGCTATAAGTTCCACCTTGCAGATCCCATATGATCAGAGTCCGGGTCATAAGGGCAAAGGGATGATGGTAAAATATACTTCCCTCTTTTACACAAAGCATAGTGATTAAGGATACTGCCCAGGAAATGTGTCACAAGTTCAATTCTCTCTTCTGTCTACTAGGAATCAGGATTCACATCTCCAAAGGGGGTGTGTTTAACTTTCAAGCCATTGATTATTTTAAACTCTTTTTTTGAAACACTTCAGATCAATGAGCAAGAAGAGGATCACGATTCAGCAGTCTAGTCCTTAGGTTCTCCGCTAGGTTCCTCCTTCCTATGCTATTTCCAGATTTAACAGACAACATCACTGAAGAGCTGAATTCAGTATTCCGCCCCATAAAAAACATCAAAAATACACTTCTTGGAACTTCAGAATGGGAGATTTGCGGGACCTCAGATAACAGCTGAGCAGGATAAGTGATAAAATATACCTCACCAAAATTGAGGGACTATCTAGAGTAAACTCTTTGAGTCATAGAAACTTTACCTGAAAAGACTCAGAGCCTTAATTTTAATGTAAAAAACTGAATGGATCTTTTCTAATATGACTCCTATACTTCACGTAAGTCCTTCTTGTGAAATCTGACCTAATAAAACCAAATGTGCATCATCAAATAGTCCATAATTACAGGTTACGAAATTAGATACTTGGTTTTGATAATGGCTGTCAAGTACTTGAACTAACATCATGTACCTGAACTTACTTCCCTCTTCCCAGGACCATTTGCAGTTCTACAGCCTGCCTTCAGTAAAATTAGAAAATCTGCTACCCTCTAATAAGGAAAAAATCCTGGAAATCTAGAGTAATTGACTTCTCTGGTCATACAGTGTGGGGCAGAAGTGCTCTGCAGTGTCCCCTGCGGTCCTCCCTAGTCCAGACTAGGAACCTGGCTGGACCATAACACAACCCATAGCAAATCTACGTTTTCTTCTCATGGAACCCAAGGAGTGGGTGGAACTTCAGATGTGCACGTTGGGTCTTGCCCCAACATGAAGCTAGGACCTGGCCAAGTTGCACATCTGGAGTCAGCAGCTGGAAAATGTTCTCAACACCCACACTTTACACGTAGGCTTTGAGAACAGAAACTCTTCCTGTTTTCCTGCAACAAATATTAACACAGAGCCTGATGGAAACTTTCCAGTTTTAATAGGCAGCGAATCATATCCATAGTACCTAATTTGACTCTTGGTGGGATACTGACAACCTGACTCTTATGGAAGGTGAAGTCACTCAAGGCTGCACACACCAGGACCTGAGAACAGATTTTGAAGACAGTCTAAAGGCAAATAAAAAAACCCCAAACAAAACTGCACAAGAGATTTACTGGTAGATTAAACTATCCCAGTAAAATAAACTCATTTTTGCCACTAATAATAATTGTGGCTGAATTTTGAATAGAAATGCATATGATCTTCAAAAGACTGAATACCCTCAAACTGTTATTCAGTTTGCAAGTGCCAATGAACTGTTTCTAAATATATTACACTATGTTGCATGGACCAGGTAAATTAGCTCCTTTGTTTTATGTTTGTAACAGATAAATGGTATTTTCTCTCCTGTATCCAACTCATAGATCAGGTCAGACAAATGATTCACCCCTCTGACATGTGCTAAGTCCTTTCAAAATTTGGTATGTTGATCAGTTGCCTCTGTAATAACTTTGTTCCCCCTTTAAATTCTCTGTTGACTGTAAATAAATTTTCCCTGATCTCAGATCACTTCAGAGATTTTTGGTCTTTTCATTTTTTTAATGGAAGAGGAGACAAGAAAAGACTGAGCCTTCTTTACCAGGCAGGATTTCCCAGGTTCTCCCAGGTTCAATTAACAGCCATTTTAGTAGCAGCTGATAGATTTCTGCCAACAAAAGCAGCTTAGAAGAAAACACAACAATGTTTAAATGCTTCATCGTACTTATTCAGAATTTCTGTCTTCCTCTCTTACTTTTGCTTTTGCATCAGATGATGAAGGTGATGGGGTTTCCACAATAAGAGTACTACCACCTACTATGTTTGTTTGCATTTTTAAATATGGTTGCATTCTGGCTGATTTGCAGTGGTATGCAACAGTTTGGAAATCTGATTGCAAGCTCACAGTGACAGAAGTAGATAATTACTATCTCCACAAATATCTATAAGTGAAATCACTTGTTTTAATACAGATTAGGTTAGTATTAAAGTTACAAGATTGGTATGAGAGACATGATAAATGTAGTCATGACAGAAAACAATTTTTAATTTAGTATACCCTATCAATCTAGATAGCCCATGAATATTTACCATTAATTCAGTAGGCTGGAACAGAGGGGGAAAAAAGAAAAAAATAGAAGGTTTGACCTAAACAAGGACTGAGGAAAAAAGAGAATTATCAGCAGATTTACTGAGAACAGATCTTGCAAAAACGTGAACTGGCAACAGATTGGAAAATACATTTGGGGTACCATTATAAACAAAGCCTTTAAAAAACCTGAATGACATGCAAAAATAGCAATTCTTAATATGTACTTCTCTTTGCAGGATTTACCAGTCTGATTACACTTAAATTAGTAACTTCAAAGGCTGAAATAAAATCATTTATAGATATTCAAAACAAAGCTATTTGATCACATCATACTTCACAGCAGGGATACAATTTGCAGGGGCTGAGTGAGGGCACAGTATAAGCTAAAACAGGTTGTGTGTGCAATGAACCAAACTAAATGGTTTATATAAAAGAAATGTTGTTTCCATTAATTTTTCTGGTAATCCTATTAAAAATGCCACCTGTCCAGAATAGAATTGTCCAGATTTTAATTCTTTTTCATATCTCAGTGTTCAAACACAAGACAGAGAAGGTATCATCTTATAGCTATTAAAATATGGCACAAACGTCTTATTCTGAAACCTTCATTACTGCAGCAGTTTCTCCAGCTCTGTTTCAATGTCTGGCTATTATACCTTTTACTTTTCCTCTCATTGTGCTCTAAGAACTGATTTTTCTGATAAGCCCTAAGAATATTTTTTCAACAGATATGTCATATTTCTAACCTCTCTTTAACCAAAATGTTTCTAATCTATAATATTTAAAATCCACATATATTAAGTAAATATAACATGAAATGCACCTTTTAAAATTCCACCACTGCCCCTCCAAAATCCGTTGTAACAACCCTGAACAGGAACTTAACTTTGAATACCAACAGAGATGAAATGGTGTCATAATCAGCATAAGTGCATGTGGACTATTCACCTAGATCAAACACTTTGGTCATATACTCAATTAAATTTAAATCCCATTATATAATGTGTACCAGCCTCATTTTATGCAATTCCCTAATTTAATGGCTTGGTATTAGCCTTTTTCCTTTTTGCACACATGGACTAATTTTCACGGTGCTCAGTCCCTTTGGGAAGTAGGTCATTAAAGTCAACTGGATGGAGACAGAAACTTAATACCTAAACAGTGTTGTAGAAGGGTCAGAGACACAATAGTAATGTAGAACTGGTTTTCACTCATCCTTCTTTGTAATATTTATGAAATTCCTCCCTCATATAAATATTGTTCATTAATCTCAAGGACCACAAAGTAGAAGAATCAAGAAAGCTATCATCCTGTTATAATTTAATATGTGAAACAAAAAAAAAAATCCTAATTAAAAAAGAATCACAATTGTCAGACTACTTAGCTGTTGAGACAATACTTGTTTTACACTGAAACAGTAGAATCATAATATTCATATTACCTTTCTCAATGTGTATTCTTTTTGTCTCATGTCCCACATCATGACCAGCCAGATCACCCTCCTTAGGTCCAGGCAGGACATTAGGTGACAAACCCATCAGCATTTGGTTCATAGATAGCCCATTCTGATGGACAGCTGCTAGACACAAGCGCAGGCAGAAAGAAAATCAGCTGTCATATTAACAATACACTTTTGTACTTATTTTATATAGTCTTCCTCTTAATTATACAAGAATTCTAACAATCACAAAGTTACTTAATTAGCGTTATCAGTATCCACACAGTGGGAGAGTTTCTTCCTGTTACTTCTGGTTTAAAACAATTCATTTAAAAAAGAAGAGTTCAGTATCTTTGGACAAAGCTGGATATTTGCAAACGTTTTCTTGTTTACTTAACAAGAACTGAAAAAATGAAGCAAACCAGAAAAGCATAGAAGGTTCTGTGTGAGATACTTACAGATTTTTTTCAGTTCTAGTTAGTTGTACAAAAACTCTTGTATATTAGCATTCCCAATATGCAGTCCCTAACTTCCTTACATTAAGCATTGTGGCCTTCCAGATCATAAACACCGATTTTCAAAATATACTGTGCAACAGTAGAATTGCTTATTTGCTCATCAGATAGCTTGAAAAGCTCTTTCCAACTATTCTCAAACAGACCTTCGTGAGTCTCAAACACAACTCAGAAAGCCATATAAGGTAGTTTATACTCCTGTGCTTTTACCCTGGAAAATTGTATTTGCAAGAGCCTTATGCCATTTTCAGTAAAGCATTTTTTCATATAACCCATATTTCTGTAGTAGTCATCTTACTCTTGCTGGCACCACGAAAGCAGATATACTTAAGCAGCAGGTGTGATGTTAACAAATCAGGTAGGAGAGAAAAGAGTTATTTTATAAACAAATAAGTTACTGAAGTGATCCAGTATTTAAAGAACTCTGTTGTGTTCACATTGGAAGAAACAATGTGCAAAGGTCCCACTCCTCTCTGCTGGTAAGTAAGCAGAGTAAGCTGAACAGTACCATTATTTAGAGAACAGTGGAAAAGCTCTTCAATGGTTGTAAAAAAACATACTATTCAATCAATTAAAAAAAATTAAAAGTCCAGGGATGTGAGGTTTTTTTTCCGGAACTTTACTCATGAACTCTGTGGTGGGTTGACCCTGGCTCGATGCCAGGTGCCCACCAAAGCTGCTCTATCACTCCTCCTCCTCAACTGGACAGAGGAGAGAAAATATAACAAAAGGTTCGTGGGTCGAGCCTGGGGAAACAGCTAGGTCATGGTATATGGGATGCCAGTTTAATCTGCACTCTGAATCGTCCAAGTGATAAGAAAACAGAATTTTCAGCTTGTCATGCTCAGGCCTCATTTCTTTGGTAAGTCATTTTTCATCACATATTAATGAAACAACTTTCATCTGAAGGTCAATGAAGAGTCAGCTTCCTGAGTCTGTGGAGAGCCTGAAAGGAAGCAGTCTAAAAGACACATGTGCTGCATCTAATCAACATGACTACGTATTTCATATAGCTATTTCATGGCCTTCTACCTGCATGCCAAATCCTCCAGTTTCACCTACTGACAAATACCACTGTGGAAATATGCCTTTAAAGCACAAAAACCTGCAACGGAGCAATAATAAAAGGAATGGACAAGTGTAATATGAATTTAAGTAAATATCCATAAAATAATCTCTGTTTAAAACCTTTATTTCCAGGCTATTGCACTGGAATACCATAGAATTCAGGGTCTCTGCCATGTAATGTACAAGGCTCCTGTACATGGAGCCTTGATAGAAATGATATCGCTTTGAGACACCATGGTTTATTTTTACTCTGCCCGTTGTGAGTTATGAGGTGATAATACTCTCTGTATCATATTTCTCACCACTACAAATTTTTATATTTAAAAAATTTATAAAGTACGGACATTTTTTAATTGATTTAACCTAATTCTTCTCTTTACCAAGCAATTCTACCATGTAAAATGTTGCTTATGAAGTCAGATTCAATCTAGAAATCAAACCAGAGTAACCAGATTAAATAAAACTCAATTTCTTTAAAAAATGTTTACACTATATGTTCAGTTCTAAAACTAATCTAGCAAATTGCTTCCCGTCTGCAATTCTGTATTTCATAGCTCATATCTTTATGTTTAATATGACATGATGGCAGTTTATATCAGTACCCATTAATGTAGCATCAGATATTATGATACTGTAAACTGGGGAACAGATAGTTATTGCAGCTGAACTTCTGAACATGATACATACGAGATCTATTTAAGACGAGGGCATTTTGATTAGAAAAACCAGCTGCACCTAATCAAATTTAAAGTGGTGACAAGGAGAAGAATGTGACCTACGGATTCTGTCTGAAGAGCTCTCGGTCCGTGCAGGAGAGCTGGACACACTGCTGCTTCGATGAGAAGATGGATGGCTGCCAGGTCTTCGGCCCTCTTCAAGAGAAGGAGCAGGAGAAGGGCTGTCTGGAACACGTTCCTAGACCCCACAAAAAATAATTGCAAAAAAAGGCAATGTTAAACTAAACCGCTGTTTCCAAACATCACTTCCCTAAACTGTATCTCTTTTTTTCAGGATTTGCAGAGTATTCTCAAAGGAAATTTGGCAATTTTAGGACACTAGACCTTACGTTTTAGTATGCAATGTGAGCGCTGCTCATCCTGTCAGGCTTTTAAACTGCCTTCTGGATGACTTATAAAAGTAAAGGGTTTTGTTTTGCTTTTGTTGTTTTTTTTTTTCCTCCTCTCACTTCTATCAGCATGCTGTTGAATTGGAAATACACATTTTGGCTTGTAGATTTTAGCCTTACAGGATGAGGAACGACATACTTTTTTAAATAAATACAGACCAGACGCTGTTGTTTTAGCTTACGCTGAACCTTACTCCACATTTTAATTTCAAAGGGGCTTCTTGAGCAATGAGATCTTACGGAACTGCTATGGATCATAAAGAAAATATAATCTCCCTACTAAACCTATACCAGTAACACGGCTGATGAAAGTCCAGCTGACTGTTTATACTATGGAGCACGAACCTGGAATGAACCACTCTTTTTGGAAGAGTGTGGCCATATCACATCACTACTTCAAAATGGGGAAAAACACCCATTTATGGTTTTCTATCCAGGGGAAAGCCTTGCATGGTAGCCAGGAGGAGGTATGATGTACTTCAGGATGTTCCTTGATTTTGAAAATCAGAGCATGAGGACTGTGATGGTTTGAACTGCACTTTAGCTATGTGAGAACCATCAGTATGTAGCAGGTGAGTATATCTCATATTTACACAGAACTTTGACAGAAACCATAAACAAAGGGAGCGGAGTGCAGAATAGTCCTTTCTAGAAAATTCTCTATCTTTCCCTGCAGTTTCCTTTTTATTGCTAATAGCTCCCAAGACTCTATGTCATAGCTAAAATATGTGTGAGTTAGGTTGGTTTGGTTGAATAGTGATAAAACTAAATAGTTCCTATAAGGGAAATCTATTGGAGGGACTGAAAATATTAAATGGGTTCTTTTGGTTGTTGGGGTTTTTTTCCCTTTGATAATTGAAATCCTGACTCCTAATGAAAAAAACAACCAACCCAAACCAATAAAAAACCAAACAACGGCATACATTCAACTCGCTTTCGATATGGAAATAATACAATTAGCATCTGTTAAATAACACGTATGAAAACTTGCTGCTGCAAATGCCTAGAAGTTTTCCTGAAAAGAGCATCACGTTCCTCACACAGCAAATTGCTTTTGCAGCAGTCAATATTTTTCATGCACAGTAGCTAGATGAATATTTATTTCTCTGAATGCATTCTTATGAAACTTAGCAATATGACCATCTATAGTAATCAATAGATTTGTTCCAGATAAGCTTCATAATAAATATTTGCTAAACTTGAGATTTGGATTGCAAAGGGATTCAATAGGCCTATTGATGGAGTGGGAGAAGACCTTTCAGAGCAATGTTTCAAGACATTTAAGTGGATTCCACTTTAATAGCCTCAGGTTTTTAAGTCAAAAACATTGATGAGAATAGTTTAACTGCATCATAGCTCTAGGCTTATTATGACTTTGATTGTGTTTATATGTCCATGAATCGGGTATTCAAGAGGAGGATTATAATGCAGATGTTTTCAGAATGTAGAAGATTTATTTCTTTAGATTTAGGAGGATTTAAGCATGCACAGCGTACAGATTTGGTATAAATTGGAACACGGTATATTTAATTATTCATTTAATATATAATTTCACTGTTTGGCATACAATGTATTGTTCTTAGAAGGGTTTCATTAAAATGAAATCCAGTGAGCACATAAGATTTGAATACAGAGCTGCAGAGTAAATTAATTTATTTAAACAGCTTAATTTGTTTATCCTATTTATTTATGTGTGCTTTTACAGCACGTATTATGAGATGGAGAGAGCAAAAGGAATGCACAGGACAACAAAATATAATTACTGCACAAACAAAACAGATAATGAGTTTTTCTCACATATGATACAACATAGCAGACAAACTCTATGAGAAAACCATATATACTGGCTTTATCAATTCATTTGTAAAACACCCTTTAACCCCAACAAAACATGGGATTGAACTATGCAGAAATGAAAAAAAAAATAATTTAATACCTTAACTCATTTTTTTACATCCTTGCTTCATAATTCCACAATCAATAATATAGTCCATAGCAATTTTTTGTCTTTATCAAAACTAGCTGCAACTAACTAATAATAAACGGAAATGCTACTAATAATAAATTTAAATACTCTGTAGCTCTAAAAAGTCATATTGATAAACTAATGGTACTGGAATATCAATATAAGTTGTCTTCCTTATTAGAGATTTTGTGTAGAAAAGATGGATTTTGTCTGTGGTTAAATATTAACTTTACATTTAGACTTCACTTTAAAGTTTTTCAAAAAAGGAAATGTGCAAAAATGTGTTCAGTAAATAACTCAGATGATCAGAGCTATTTTGCAACTTCTGCAAAATGCCACTTTTGTACAAGTAAGTCTACATGACACAGCAAAGAAAGAGAATTTACTGCATTATAATCCTGGCAATAGAAATCACCTAGGACACTGTCCACTGTCCAGTATTTTTCCTAAAGCTTGTCTACTCCAGGACAAACTTAATTCCACTTAAGATATCTCTAGAGAATCTGGTGTTGGGTTGTACTGTAATTAGGCTCGTCTCCCAACAAACAAACAAATAAATAAATAAATAAAATCTGAGTGACTTCGCTTTGCTAAAATTAAGTATGAGGAGGAAACTGTGTAGGGTTCAGTTTGAAATCAACAAATCTGAATATAAGTACCTAAATGCAGTTTTGACACGAGCTAGAGATGAAACTTCAGACACACCTGTATCTAAGATGCTACATGAAGGGGCCCATCTTGAAGGTAAATTGTCTCCCATTTCAGTCAACTGAGATATAGACAATAAAGTCAATGGAGCTTCCTCCAAAACCAGATACCTACAGCTCAATTCAGCTGCTCACGTTTGAGACATTTGAGCCACTGATGGGTTCTGAGATGTCCACACCAGGTTGACAGACAGGACCTATAAAAGACCTGCTGCCTTCTGGAGTGGCAGCAGGACGCCAAAAACACTATCCTTGTACTTACTGGCTGATAAGCTGAATAGCTCCCAAACTCTATTGACAATATTCACTAGAAAACAAGGAATTATTTATCACTTGTAAAACATAACCTTCACTAGCTGCCTTTTTTCTCCATTTTTTTGCTTCCCTATTTGTTTCTACAGGTACTCACAAGTAAAAAGTAGTCTGAACAATTTAGGGCATATGTAGCAATTTAACATATGGTCAACCAGCTTTTCAAAATTGGTAAGACTCTCAATTAGGCATCAGAACTGGAGGCTGTACTAAGCAATGGACAACACTCTTAAAGGGCTAAATTTGAAGCATTCCTTATCTTGGTGCTCTTTACAATCTGATCCAAATCATGAATCCTAAGCATTTAAGAATCTGACATTTAACTCCTCCAAAAATGCTCCTACCATATATGAAACTTTCACTTTAGGGAGCTGCAATGCCCTTTCCTGTACTTTTACTCCACTGACATTACAAGTTACACACCCTCAATATCAAGTCCGTTTCATAAATAACAGAATTGTTCCTGTGACATTGGGCATTTATTTTTTTTTTATCTTGTAAAGAACAGGTAAAAGATTTTAACTATCTGAGATTTTAACTTGGAAGATTGAAGTTGTCTCTAGAATTAGAAACCGCTCCAATTTTCTTCCAGAATACCACAACATAGCACTGTCTCAGTCTCTCCAAGTAAAACAGAAGAGTGTTGATGTACTTATCAACATTTTTCTACATTTTTCAAACAGCTCTTGCAAAGACCATACTGTAAGATCTCATTCAAAAAGTTCCTTTTAAGTAACTTCCTATTAAGATTTATTTTAATATATCAGTGACGGTATCCAGAAAACCATAAATACTTTCTTCCCTGTATCATATGTCTTTTTCTTCTTACCAGGTCACAAAGGTAGTTATTCAATATTAATCTCTTTTTTTGTCTCTCTTCTTTCTGCTCCAGCAGCATGTTTTCATTGTTTGAAAAGTGCCTCATTACCAAAAGTCTTCCTCAAAAATATATCAAAATGCAAAGCTGATGGAGTTCAGCTGTTGGTCCCTATATCACTATCGAAGGGAAGACATTTCAGGTAATATATGTAGGATTAATTCTTCTGCTCCTACAAAGACAGACAAGGAAGTGATATCTTCTACGTTCTCACTACCTCAGTCTTTCCACAAACATTCTTTATTTGCCATTCCTGTTCCTTAGTGACAAAATTCCAGAATCTTTCTGACAAAGTTTGAATATACCTACTTCCAGTAACCAACCGGTTTTGCACGCACAGCCTTCATCTCCTGTATATCTCTGCTACAGGTATTTTCAATCTCAGCGTTCTCCTTTGTTCTAGTTTGCTTCTCTGTAAGACTCATCTCTTGGGCTTAGTCATCCTTTAATTTTAGTCATGGACTGAGCTCCAGACATGCCACTAAGTATAGCTGTAGAAGTATATCTCTTTTAAAATTATTCAGCTGTCTTGATGCTCTTCAGTGTTGAACAAACTCCTTTAAGGATGTTTGTGCTTTAAGTCATTGAAGTGCAGAGGATAAAATAACTTATTTTCAGTGTCATCTTTTTCAATAGCTTAGGTCACTTCATACTGGGGAAAGGATATATGACACACTGTTTCATACACTGTCAATTTAAAAAGAAAAATTAAAAAGCTTTTAATCAGGAATAGTTTTCTGGGAAGGCACCTGGCTTCCAAGCCTTTTTGTGGTAAAATTATAATAATCTCTTTCACAATGACCAAAACATAGACTTCTTACTCTTCAGTTCCTTACTGACCTACTTTGAACTTGTGTGAGAAGTATTCCAGGAATGGCTTTCTTGTAAAATGGCATAATTATTTGACATTGTATTAGCTGAATGAAA